TGAGAATTGTTAACAAAAAAATACAATAGTTAATATAGAATAGCATCAATAGAATTTAATACAATTGTGTTGTAATCAAATGAAAAATACGCACCAATTGAATTGTTATTAGCACCCATAGTTAATGAAGCAATCCTTATATAAAAATATTTTGGTACATGTAGTAATTGGTAATCTATAAAATAAAATAAATTGCTAATCTATAAAATTGCTAAGTTGTCTATAAATAGCATCAATAGAATGTAATACAATTGTATTGTAATCGAACAATTGTAATACAATTGTATTGTATTGTATCTATAGTTGATTTAGCAAGATAGTGCAGCTAAAAAGTGTGTATGTAAGATGAGTATGACGATATAAGAAACTGTATATTTACCATGATCACGCAAAATCATTGGTGATGTGGATGCCTGGCGATCTTGAGGACAGTTAGATTTTTCATTTATTTGATCTAGAAATAGAATATATATTAAATTAAAAATCAATAGTTTATGTATTTATTTTATGTGTAAATAGTGATACATTGTATGAGAACTGTTAACAAAAAAAATACAATAATTAATATAGAAATAACATCAATAGAATTTAATAGAATTGCATTGTAATCAAATGAAAACAATTACAGAGAAGTGGTTACCTGAACTAGGGAATGCAGTTTTAAATGCTCAAAAGTGCCTTGACGATTGCACATATGTCAGGGGCTTGGTGAGTTTTTTGCTCCTCTTGAATCATTTTCTTTTTTCTAATTGTAATATATTACTTGCAAGTGTTAAGTATGACTTGACTCAAACCTTTCGTTTAAGTACTTTAAGCAATGAACTATTTATTCCATGAGTTGAATTGTGTTGTTGCTAGATAGATGAATCACGTAGTTGTAATTGTCATTGTTGATAAAGAAAAGAAAGGCTAGAATGCAATTTTGCCAAAAGGATTTCTGACGAAATTAAAAATTAATCCAATTTTAATAATGGACGTATAGTGCCTTAGTTATTAGTAGTATCTGAATTGTTTTTCTCCAATTATAAACCATTTTTAATTATTTTTTTTAATTATCAAAAAATCTTTTTTTTATTTCATGCACGATCATTTTTGGAATAAAATTATGAAAATAACTATCGTAACACCTATTTTATGTGATAAATGTGCAATAAAAAATAATTAAAAAAATTTCAGTAATACAAACAAATAAATTTTTATAATATACAATTTATATTAGAAATAGTAGAACCCTCAATCATGAACCTATACCATCCGCAATTATATAAGCAAGCAATACCTTTTTATCTTTGTTTTACAGTGTAACAATAAGCAAACAACCGTTCATAAGATTTTGTAAAAAATTTTCAGAAATAATGGATGATCAGAAAATCAATGCAATATCATTCATGACAAAAAACAAAGCAAAAGCAAAACATACTTAAAAGGCAGAGGGGACTGACCTGGAAAATTAAGCCGGCCGCAAGAAGGTTGATTTCTACTGGAGTCTCTGCACATAATATCTTCCACTACTGCTCACAAAAGAAACAAAATCAATACATTTACAAAATCAATAGAGAACTCAAAACAAATAAGAAACTGAGAGAGAGGGTGAGGGAATTAACTCGATAAGTTAATTAAGTCGATCAGTAAAAGAAGAATTTGTAGGAGTAATTGTAGGATGGGTTAAGATAGTGGGATAGTGGGAATGTTGATTGGTGATAAGGTGATAGTGGGATAGTGGGAATATTGATTGGTGATAAGGTGGGTTATAACCCACTACTTTTTTACGTATTAAAATAAATACAAAAATATGAGTTAAGATAGTGGGATGGTGGGAGCGAGATAGTGGGAATATTGATTGGTGATAAGGTGATAGTGGGATAGTGGGAATATTTATTGGTGATAAGGTGGGTTATAACCCATTACTTTTTTATGTATTAAAATAAATACAAAAATCTAGAAAAAAGTATGACAAATTTAGAAGGCATTGAGAGGGTTTCTGCTAAAAATCCCTTCCTGAATACATATAGATATAGATATTGTTAATGAATGAAGAATTTAAGCTCATTTTTTAGCCTTCAATACAATTTGATATCCTTGTTAGTCTAAGGCCTTGTTTGATGACCTAGTTCAACACTTAAATTTAATGGATTTAGATCTTAACATATTTAGACTATTTGATAACCAAAAATTGAACATCTGAATTAATTAAGCAACACTGAATTTTCTAAGCAAAACTTGGATCCAAAATTAAGTGATAAGGATATTCACTTATTACTGAATGTGATATGCAGTCAAATGTATTAGATTTACTATTTAACAATTCAATAATTTAATAAATGCAAACTTTAATTTTATCAAATGTACCCTAAGTCTTAAGGGCCTGTGTCTTCCCTCCCCCCCTCGAGAGTAAGTGAACCTAATGAGGATTCCTTTTCAGTATAAAATTATACACTCAAGCCTTCAACAAGAAAATGCCTAGAAGCAACTTCTTGTCCAACCATCCAAGTTTTACTGGAGCTAATTACCAAATTTGGGCTATCAAAATGAGGTCCTATTTGATGGCTAGCGATCTTTGGGATATGCTCGAGACAGACAGACGCTATTCCTGTAGTGTCTAAAGATCCAATGATTGCAGAGATAAGAGCCCATAGAGATACAATCAAAAGGAGATAAAAAACATGAGGTGCATCTACTCAGCAATTTCCGATGCAGTATTCACAAAAATTATGACTTGTGAAACTGCAAAAGAAGTTTGGGATGCTTTGAAAGTAGGTTCCGAGCTAATGACAGAACAAGATAGATGTAAATTTTGAACCTTAGGAGAGAATTTGAACTCCTTAGGATGAAAAACACATAAAATATTAAAGAGTACTCTGATAAACTCTTAGATATTGTGAATAAAATTAGATTGTTTGGAGAACAACCATCAAGTAACAGAGTCATATAGAAAGTCTTGGTGAGTTTACCTGAAATGTTTGAACCCAAATTTCCTCCCTTGAAGATTCAAGGGATCTCTCTGAAATCACGTTGTCCGACCTGATCAATGCTCCATAAGCACAAGAGCATAGGAGATCCATGATCCATCCAGAAGGAAGAAGTAGTAGAAGATGCTTTTTAGGCGAAAGACAAAAACCAAATTAGCAAGGTGGCAAGGGGAAGAAACAGCAGTGGAACAATAAGAACAAGAAAGAGGGTGAGCCTAGCAGAGATGAAGGAAGAAGAGGAAAATTTCCTCAATGTCCACATTGCAGGAAGACTTCACACTTACAACAATGAATGACGACACGAGGAGCATTTCTGGATATTTATTCAACTTGGATTCTGGATACTTTTTCGTGGAATTCAAAGAAGCAAGATATGGTGACTTAATCTAACATTGAGACAAAATATGTTGCTGCTACTAGTGCTGTTAACCAAGCCTTGTAGTTTAGCCAATTGTTGGTTGATTTGAAGCATATTTAACAAGGAGCTACTAATATCTTTGTTGATAATGAGGGTGCCATAGCAATTTCCAACAATCCAGTGTTTCATGGAAGCACTAAGCACTTCAAGACTAAGTATTATTTCTTTCGAGAAGTTCAAAAGAGTGAAAATATTATTCTAGTTCATTGCAAGATTGCTGACCAACTTATGGACATTTTTACTAAGGTCTCGTTCAAAATAAGGTTTGAATACTTAAGAAAACAGTTGGAAATCTGCAGTAAAAGTGACAAGGAAGAATGTTGGGATATGTCAATTTTTTTCTATAGATTTTTTAGATTATTTTTGATACTAGAATAATTTAATTAGTAGCTCAATAATTTTTGATAATAAAGATAATGTTAGTTTGTTGGTAAATATTTTAGTTTATATTTGCTAAATAGATGATTATGTTGTCAAGTAATTCTGTTAAGATTTTTTTAGAAGATCGTTAGTTGAAATTGTGTTAGTTTGTTCTGATGCATGAAGAATTTAAACTTATTTTCCGGCCCTCAGCACAGCCTTGACTCTTGATATCATTGTTTACAGTAACTCTATTTTTCAATAAGTTGAGAATAAAGTATTCTGCAGCATCTTCTCCTTTATAAGATACCCCTAGTCACTGCTCCGGATCTATTTTGATGTGCATCCCTCCAACCCAATTTATTTTTTGAGATTTAGCTCTATCTTTTCTGAAAGTCATGGTTCTCGGCCTTCTGGTTCTTCTGGTTCTTCTGGTTGGGCTTTTGATACAGCCTTGCCCAATGTATAGCAAGCAAAAGCATTGGTTTCCAAATTTTCGTCCCTGTGTACCACATGATAAATTTGTATGCATAAAATAATGGACTCGGTTTCCATTATTGCGGTGCTAATTACTGCATTTATGGGATGGTTCTCAGTTGGCTAATATCATGGAACAAAGCCTTACATTATTTGAGAAGTTCTTTAAATAATCAAATATGACTTTAGTGGCAGACTTGGTGCACGATTATATGCTTATATATACTCTTCATCCTGAAGCCTTGATTGTTATCTGATATTGTGATGAAACCTGCTTCATATCTTCAGTTGTAAGTTAATGGCGCGCCATTAGATATGTGTTTCTAGTTGAAAGCATGATTCAAAGTCGCGTTCGTGGTTTGAACCGTTTTACATCGATCTCGACATATTGATCGTGGTCTCGACGAGACCCAAAATTTTGAAACATTTAATATTCAAAAAATTGTAAAAAAAAATTGATAAACAAATATAAATAAAATTAGCAGAAATAATAAATATTCGAGTTGAGTCGGGACGACTTGACCGTTTCTATCCGTCTCGGAGACGACTCGTCCAAGTATTCGGTGATCCATTATTTCGAAATCATTTTGTCCCGGTATCAGAACGGAAAATCCTGTTCCGGTGACGACTTGGTCGAATTGTCTTGGTTTCGGCCGAGTCTTTGAACCAGTTGAAAGAGTCCAATGATACCTACTAATGAGTAGATTGCAGGCGGTCAATTTGATTTGTTTGCCATACTAAAAAATTTAAGATTAAGGGTGAAATCAATCCACATGCAGTTTGCACTAAATTGGTTCTCAGGTCCTAATTTCTGTCTGTTTGACAGTTAATATTACACTACGAATATTCCAATCATTGGATTTAGCTACGAGAGTACTTTCTTTCGCATACAGATAGCCAAGTGGCGTTCACCGGACAGGAAACAAGAAAACAAAGAAGCCCTGCAGCTCATATTAGCTGTCTTAGTTCGAAGATTAGCTGCGAAATGCTTGATTTTCTTTGCGGATATTCCAATACGTCCTCCTACCTACGAAGTACCGTTTGTTATCTGGCCGAGTATCGTTTCATCACTTGGGTGAATCGACAAGCGAGTTAAGACAAATAGAATACATCAGACATTGCTGTTCCCTCTGTCAGTATCTTTCTAGTTTTGGCACCTCGTAGGACGGTAGGAGCCTTGAGGGCGTTTTGTACTTTTCTGGACAATTACGGATGGATCCAGTGTAGCCTGAAGGTCGGAAGGAGGGAAGAATATGGGTCTGAGGAGGGACAGCCTGAAAGCTTGTCCGAGGGAGAAGAAGTCTATGACCTTGCAGAAACTTTTTGATCTTGATTCTCCCAGAAATGGTGCAAGTAAGCTTGCCAGGAGCAGGAACGGTTCTCCCAGGAAAGAATGCCAGGATTCTGAAAATGAGGAAATCTTCTCTTTGATCCCACATTGTTCCGTCATTTATACCTTCAATAATCCTCAGGAATCTCCTTCACAGCAAGATCTCAAGAGGCTTAAGCTCATACAGCTGCTTTCCATTATAAAATGCTCGAAAACCGCATTCAGTCGTGAGGTTCTGTCCTCTATTTGCTCGATGTTTTCGGCCAATCTTTTCCGCCCGCTCCCCCCCAGTAAGACTTCTCTCATCTGTATCCTGCCTGATGATGACGAGCTTGTTGCCACCCCTTCAGCTGCCTGGTCACATCTGCAGATTGTTTTCGACATCCTCCACCGTCTGCTCATGAAGACTGACCCCAAAGAGCTTCGTGAATACATAGATCATTCTTTCCTTGTCAATCTGCTTTCCCTGTTCCAGTCTGAAGATCCAAAGGAACGCGAAAGCCTCAAGAACGTGTACCATCAGATATACTCCAAATTCACATTCTACAGATCATTCATGCGAAAAGCAATGAATGATGTTTTCTTGCACTACATCTTCGAGGCGGATCAGCACCACTGCGGAATCGGAGACCTTCTGGAGATATGGGGAAGCATCATCAACGGTTTCACAGTTCCGCTCAAGCAAGAACACAAGCTTTTCTTGACGAGAGTCCTAATTCCCCTGCACAAGCCAAAAGGGATGCAGGCTTACCACAGACAGTTGGCTTATTGCGTCTCTCAGTTCGTGCACAAGGACGCAGCTCTTGGTGGGACTGTCGTTAGAGGAATTCTAAGATATTGGCCGGTGACAAACTGTCAGAAGGAAGTTCTGCTCATCGGGGAGTTAGAGGATGTGGTGGAAAACATAGATCCTGAACACTACCGGACTATTGCACTGCCCTTGTGTACCCAAATTACCAAGTGTTTGAACAGTTGGAACTCACAGGTAAAGTACTTTGTTGTCAGATTTCCTATTTGTTCGTCTCCAACACCAGAAGAAACATCTGATCTTGCGAGGCCCTGCCTGATCCAAGTCAATAGCAGCATTTCCTTCTAATTCAGTAAACAGATTATCCAGATGGAAATTCCTCGGGAACATCCTAAGGACAAACTTCCCTTGCTCTCTTTCACGGGCGTTTTCTCAAATCCGTTGTTTAATTTTCTACTCCTCTTTGATCGTATTCGTATGCACCAAAATTGAAACTGAATGGTTTGGAAACAGGTTGCGGAGCGGGGGCTGTACGTGTGGAACAACGAGCAGTTTGTGAACATGGCGTCGCAGGCAATGGAAGATGTGCTTCCGGTGGTGGTTCGAGGCATGGAAAAGAATCTGAAATATCACTGGAGCAACAGCGTGAAGCAGTTGACGCAGAACGTCAAGGAGATGCTGCAAGGATTGGAACCAAGTTTGTACATCAGGTGCCTCTCGCGGCTTGAACTTGAAGAATCTGCGGCTCAACACAGAGAGATGACAAGAAAAGAGATGTGGGAGAGGGTAGAAATGGCTGCTGCAACTAGGAACCAATGCGTCCACCAATTACGTTGTATATGTGTTTCCAGTTGAACTGGAGACGACAAAAAACAGAAAAGAAAATCATCCCTCCCTGCCGCCTGCTGGCACTTGCTTACTGCCAATCATCATGTGTATAAATTCTTCCATCCCAAGCCATAAATGTAGCCTTTGATGTTCCACGTACATTTCATCATCTTACGCATCAAGCATGAAGTTTCCTAATTACCGTTTCCTAAATACGTGTGCCTAATCACAAGATACTAGTTGGTACTGCTACATTTCATCATCTTAAACATCAAAGCATGAAATTTCCTAATACGTGCACCAGTATGTTGAACCTTGGTTTGACTAGTTGGCGAACCAAATTTGAACGAACTTTTACCAAGTTGAATTCAATTTGAGTATCGCATAAGTTGGTTCATCTTTCAACGCTAAGATGTGCCTAATCACAACATACTAATATGGATGCGTTTGGACATACATTACTTGCAAATAATTAATCGTTTGTATTATAAATATGCTTTTCAATCAACATATTGTTACCTCGCATACTATATCAATATCTACGGTAATTATTTTAAATAATATTTTGAATAATCTCCTATCTAAATAGACTTTTTAATGTACTCGGCATCAAAAGAAGGGGGAAAAGATGAAAATGAGAAACAACTGAAATGACATCAGGACAAAAGCCCAAACACGAGAAACTCCACCCTGCTTGGGCCTTATTACTTTTTTTTTTTTTTTGGGAGAAAACCCTAGGGTCTTGGTTAATAGACTAATGTCTCCTTTTGGTGAAAATTTTGTTGTCACTTTGAATACACTAATTTTCACTTCATAACAAAAATCTAATACTAAAAAATACATAAAAATAAAATACAGGATCACTTTAAATAACAATTAAAATGGTTGGGGGAAACATAAAAGGGACAAAATACGAAAAGAAATCGAGGGATATAGTTTTGAATTAGAATAATAAATAGGATCTTTTAATGCCTTTTCATTGATAGCAATTTTTTCTGACTTGGGCTAACTTGAAATATGTAATGGAGTGTGGTTGTTAAGATTCTCGAACTCCATTTGTTCCCTTTTTCTTCTTTAATTTTTCTTTTTTTATTCTACTTCTTTTGTTTCAATTATATTTTATTGTTATATATTTTTAATTAGACTTTCATTATGCAGTGAAAATTAGTCTATTTAAAGTAGCAAATTTTTTCCACCAAAAGCATTAATTACCACTTAAACTTTTCTGAATTAATTTTTTATACACTGATAATGTAGTGATTTTTTTTTACACTAACAGCTATGAATATATGCCAAATGTACATTATTTGAATTTTAACGTTGAATTCATGTTATGTAGCAATGATTTAAACCTGTTAGTGTGAAAATAAAAAGTATACATTGATAGTTTGTGAAAAGGTTATCCGACTTTTAATGGAGGATAGGTTGGTCGTTTCGTCAATTACTTAGATAAAATTAATTTTTTAAATTTTTTTTAATTGATCAAGGATACAAAGTGCCTTTTAAAATATTTTAAGAGGATAAAGTGCAATTACTATAATAGTGGGTGGAGGTTTTCTGCATTGAACCCTACTTGATGTACTAGATTGTTTTTAAACCCTCAACAATAAAAATAAAAGCAAAAAAAAAAGAAAAGAAAGAATCTGTGTTCGTCGAGGAGAAATGCTAAACAGCTTGATGACAGACCCGTGATGTGTAGACCAAATGCTGTAAATGTGTCAAACCACCTTTATTCTGCATACATAGTTTTGAGTTTTTGACCCACCAAATGTTCGACTGTATGTCACTGCCAAGATGCTATCCTAAAAGAAGCCACCTCTGCTTATTCACTCTTAGTTTTCTTTTGATGGCCTTCCTCTTCTTATTTTCCCAGTGTGAGTCTCCTTACTGATTACGTCCTGTCCGTGGTTTTTAACTACTGTTAAGCCTTTCTCCTATGTTCTTATCTGCACCCGACAGCTGTTTCTTTTCTTTCTTTCTTTCTTTTTTTTTTTCTCCCTTTTCTAGTTTTTGTTCTTGATGTGGATACTCTGTGACAGAATTGGGTCTAGTTTTTTTTGCATTAGATGGCGCTCTGTTCCAGATGGATGCCAAACTATCAAGGTTCCTCCCTTAATTTTACGTATGTTTGGTTTGTATATATATATACATATATATATATTGATATGCCTGATTTGAGTTGTTTTTTCTTCTCACTGGAGGCGTCATTTGCCCAACGCTTGGTGTAATTCGTCCTCAGCTACCTTCCCGTATTCATTGTCGCAGTTGGAGCACGTTCAGAAATCATCAAAGCATGCCAGTGCCATCCGGCAAGGTAACTATCCTTGGCCCTCATATTGGTTGTATATCTCCAACAATTCTAGTCGTCCATAATTGGCGTCTATCTTTTTGGGTGAATGATACAAGTTAGCTGAAATTATTTATTACGTTATTTGTAGATGGGCAATGGAAGGACTCCGTGTTTCGTGCGGAATAAATATGCTTTATCTGTAGTAGGTAGAAATCATCAGCTGCCAAGCATTGATGATGATTTTGATCAGGAGCCCTTCTGGTCAAATGTGTTAAAGAAATCTTTCTGGTAATGCAGTTACAAATCGTATTCCCAAAATGTATATCTTTTCTCACCAAGAAAAAGAAAATTGTCTTCTTTTATGTCCATGGGAATTTAGTCCAAGCCTTTTCCTATTGCGATTGGATTCTATTCTTGAATTTTCCAACAGTTACATTAATGGGAAATTCATTGCTCTGGTGGTGAAATTTTTTTTTTTTTTCTCCAGGGCTCTGAAGTCTCTAAGTATATTTCTTGTTGAGCAGCCAAGTCAGTTAAAGTACATAGAATGGCCAAGCTTTCAGAGCACGGTAAGTCTAAATCAATGCCTTACCTTCAGTAATGACTTAAGCTGACTGGTTGCCCTGATTGATAAGGATAACAATGGTTATTGACCTTTTTTGTATGCCACTTTGTGGACTAGACTTTTGCTTAATCTATTTAATCATAAAATCACTAAAGAATTATGAACTAAAATTTAACAAGTTCTCCATATTCCTGATACTACAATAAGAAAAAACATTTTCTTGCCTGCTGCATCAGTGAAGATGATCCTTGATATGTTCACTCACTTTTCTTTCTTGTTTGGAAATATATAATCATCGTGCCTGCCTGATGTGAACGAAAAACTGGATTTGTAAATTCTTGAATTAGGTGCCCCTTTAAATCTAAGCATAAGAACCTTAGGATGGCAATGGGGAGAAGAAAGGGCGTAGTCTGAAGCAATGTCCTCAACTCAATTTCATCACCGTGACTTGTACTTATCCATCTTATAGTTGGAAGTTGCTCTGTTGCAAATATCACGTCACGAGAATGCCCTAGATCCTCAGATTTTTAAATTGTCCAATACACAAAGTTGAAGAAAACTTCTGAGTTTTTGCAGCAATTAGATATGTTTATAATGTTATATTCTAGACCTATGTTTGCTTGCTATGAAATTCTGATTTATGAACGTCTCTAGACTTCCATGTTTTCATAGTTTCACTCTGTTCAATTCATGCACGTAGTTTATTTGTAATAACTCTCATTTAAGCATTGATGAATCCGGAAACTTCTCTGATTTTTCAGCCCTAGAAACTTTTTCAGCCTTAAAAATTTTTATGTGGAGCTGGATGTAGGAGACTTTTCCTCCACCTTCTTCATAATTATACCCAATCATCAATGATCCATATTAGTAAATTGTGGCCACTCTCAATCATGAAAGTTGGGTGTCTTGGTGGTGCCATATGGGCTTTCCTAAGTATACTAATGAGCTTTCCTAAATTCTGTTTTCTCAAGATATCCTTTTTAAACATTTTTATCATTATTTCTTTGTTCTTTTTTTTTTTTTTGGCAAAACAACAATATTATTAGCCAAAATGGGAAAATTTTGTCTACAGCCAATTAGAAAGGTGGTTTTGCTAGAGAGTCCTAAACCAATCATTGTCAACCATCTTTTATACTCTAGGTGATTGTACTTTTCCTGTGGTTAATTACAAAAGTTCCCCCTAGGTTATAGTAGTTCATCAATACGTTTAAAATGCCCCTGTTTTAAGCCCGTTGAAATTTGAGAAAAGTATACCTCTCAGCATAGCATTTTGAGAAACAACCCTAGGAGTTTTTTAGGGGAAAAAAAGAGCACCCATATGCACATCATTGATGATTTAAAATCCTGAAAGAGAGACTGTCTGTCTCTAGTCGTTTTTAGACTTTAGTAATATTTTAGACTAGTTTCATTTACTTTTTGCCTTCTCACATGAAATGAGTGGGACATCTCCCTCTATCTCGAACGTGTAATTTTGGGATAAATTTAACTAGACCCAGTTATATGGCTATATTGGTTTTTTAATTATTACAATGGTATCAATGTTTTTTACACATTATTTGTTTGTCTTGGCCATTATAGAAGAATATAGTTGACTAACAGTCTTAGGATTGAGAAAAAAATGACGTTTGGGGATATAGTGCAAAACAAACTATACCAGGGGCTAAATATGATAGCTAACCTTCAGGGGTTTGAATGTCTTTTAGACATAATCACCATTATAAAATTTTAGAGTTAGACTAAGGGTTTTGGGGGTGAAATGAGGAAAAAAAAAATTAATCTTAGGGGGGCAAAGTGAAAAACTCTCTATACTTTAGAGGAATTATTGTAGTTAATCTTTTTTTTTGGTCGAAAATTTATTGATTACAAAATATTGATCTTTGGGAGTTGGCTGCATATGCAAGTCTTACAACCCTCAGAAATTGCGGTACCTTGGATCTGACGAAGTCCTAACATCAAATGAAAGAGCAATCTTGCTATTCAAGCGATGGCTACTGCACTTTTTCAAGTACAATAGTGAAATGATTAGATGATTGAATTCTCTCTTTTTCTGCAGCTAAAGACTGCGACTCTCACTCTTCTTCTTGTTGGGCTGCTCATAATTGCGTTGTCCTCCGTAGATTCTGCTCTCTATTATATACTTGCTTTGCTGTCAAGGAGGCGTGCTTGATTCAGGTCTCTCTGGTAAGAAGAGAGAGTCGCCGGCATCCTGTTATAATTTAACAGAACGTCTCAGGGTCTCACGGGCATAAAAAATCAGATTGGCTGCGAAGCTTGCTCTTTGTAAAAGCATGGCAATTACACCGTGATGGGTAGGTGATAAGAGGCATACATAAACCAGAAGATTGTTTTATGGCTGAAACGATTCCGTGTACAATTTATGCTTTGAGAAAGGATTTGATGACCATTTTCCTTCATTTTGATCCCATGTATGGTCTTTAAGACATCAATGGGTTCCTTTATCTCCAATCCAATTAGCAATGGGTTCCTTTTGCCTTGGGGAAGGCACAAATTCTGAAACCTTTTGGCAACAAATGTATTACGCAATCTTAGTAGTAAAACCTTTTTGTGAAACTAAATCAACAGGTCAATTTTAAGTTGATTGTGCGTCGCCGCATCTTCCAAGCATTAAAATACTCTCCTTCCCTGAAACATATAACTCGAGAATTCTACCTTTTTTATTTTTTTTGGATACAACAGACTGCTAACAGGAGGAATACATTCAATTTGACCACCAAAAGCATCCAACTCGAAACTTTGGAATCCAGAGAGAGACATCAATGCTTATTTTTCCACTCTCCTAATCCAGGAAGCAGCAACAGCATAAGCTTCAGCTTCAAAATGAACAAATATTACAGTTCTACAATTCCAAGTATGACAAATGAATATGATACCGCTCCTAACAAAATCTTGTGGAACTCGGCACACTGACCCTATTGACCAGAACATTTAGTCAACCATCACTCTTCAATCCAACAAGGAAAAATAAAATGTTTTTGACTTCTAAAAATAACTTATCCCCTGCTCTGTTCACAATGATCAAGTGAATCTAAAACCTTGAAAAGCACATCCCTGTACACCAACCCTACCTCTCCAACCTCTGCTTCTCCCTTTTACCTCCGATCGCAAATTGCTTGACAAAGAAAATCCTTCAGAAGCTGTGAAGAGTATAAAATATCTTCATGCTTCAATAGTATGCGTGAAAACAAGACCCAGACTCGGGTCTTTAGACAGAAACGCATGTATGACAATCCTCCACAATCAGATAATACTCAGAACTCACAATATTGCAACTGCAGGTTGATGTCCAACCCTGAAGCATCATCATGCAATGGAGATGAGCCCAAACAAACAAGATATACCCTGTTAGATTTTTCGGAAGATTATTATACTCCATACTTTGCTAACTTCTCCTTCACGTGGGGCTCTAAATTAGACATGCATTGCTCCCATGCACCATTGTTGAGCATCTGGGGGACAAAAATTGCAGATTTAAGAACAGAAAATATCAGAAATTTCAAATTGAACAACAATTCAAAGGCAAGAATATACAAGACCAGTCTCGTGATAATTCAAGCTTAGACATGTAATCCCCTTTTTGTATAGTTCTATATTTTCTCAAACAAGTGAAAAGGGGAGTAGCAGCCTAGAAGAGAGGGAAGGATAGGCAATTCCTATAGATGATCAAGAAGGCAAAGCATAAGCTGCCAACCACAGAAAAAGGGAAAGACAAGTGAATGACTTAAACCACTTTATTGAATTCCAATAAGGTCATCATCCCATAATGTAGAGAGAATCATGCACAAATAATGCAAAACCATGTTCACCAAAAAATGGGATAGAGAGAGAGAGAGAGTCAATCAGCCAGAGTTTCTGCAATCCAGATCTCATTACTAAGTTTATTGCGTGTCAGCTGTAAAATAAATGAAAATCAAGAAAAGATTTCTTTTTCCATTTTCACTTAATTTTTTTAGGGACTAAATACTACAATTAGTGACTTACTTGTTTATATCCCTGCAAAACCTGGCACACTTCGTTGTGCAAGTCCTCACTCCTAATTTCCTGCACATAGAACTTAGGTAAGACAGAGAAACTTTTTTGCTCCTAATATAACTTATAGATGAAATTGAGCGAGCAAGATATAACTTACATGCCAACTTGCAATGGCTTGGCAAATATAAACAAGTGAACTTAAAGCCCCTGATGGATTTGTCTTAACCTGTTAGCAAAGGAAAACAAGTTAAATATTATGTATATCATCTCCAACTATCTCCCTGGGAAAAAGAAAAGAAAAAGGAAATGCATACCATTGCGCATAAACCATGGAAGGCATCCTCCTTCTCCACGTCATCTCGTATCCTGTCAAGTGTTTTTAGCAGTTAAAAGGGTATTTTGCTTGCATAGCGAACACTGGAATCACTATGTAACATTCCTTGATTGATAAACAACTTGGATAGTAGACAACAATCTCAAGGAAAGGATACAAGGTTGTACAAAGGCAACTGGTTATCTCTTCAACATATGAAGATCTAATTCTACGTGTTAATTCTGACTCTATTAAGTCAACTAGTTCTTGCAAAAAATCAAGTGAGCTAAAACTTCGATGCATTACTGACAGATTAATCTTATGTAAATCAAACACTCATCTCTACATAATGAAATAATAAAGAATATACAATGTATCTGAAGCTATTAAAACTTCCCAAGGAACCAGCAACCTTAAGATCAAAGAGTAAATAAATTACTGCTTTATTTGCTAATAATTTGGTTCCTTTTTCAGTGTTTCGCCTTTTATGCAAACATGTATCATATTCACACGTCTGATGTTCTGAAAAACTGATACAGAAGAGCATCAATCTTTGTGGTAAAGCCAAGTAACTTACACAGACAAAGCAATGCACCAATGCTGCATGAAATGCCCCATATGTGGTGAAACAAGCTCCGGACAGACCCAAGCTAGACGACCAAGGGTGATTGCACTGTTTTCGATGAGTGATTTGTTCAGGCCCTTTGAAGCATCAAAAGTTTCAATCAAAATGTTCCATAATAAATGTGCATCAGCTTTATAAAACCGAAGTACCCAAAGAAGAAAAGGACAAGACAAATAGAATCAAAAGGCACAGAATTAACATTATGCAACAAACACAGGAAACATAATCACCTCTACATGCTGAAGTATTGGGACTAGGCATGTTATAACTGTCATCACTATGGAGGCCATATCCTTTTGAACCTGAAACACAATTTTCAACATATAACAAACACAGCTGCCCACCAAATTAAATCAGTACCTTATTTTCCATTTTACTTGTACATTTAGAGAAAACATGCAACGAGAGAGTCCAAAATGAATAAAAGTTCTCCACATAATGCAGAGTCAAGATGACCACCTAAATGATACCACCAAAAGTTGCATAACTGAGAAAAACTTCAAACTTGAATTAAGAAAAATGGTGTGCCTACACACACACGTGTGTGCGCGAGTCAAATGTCCCATTCAACAAAATATACCGAGAGCAAAGCACCATGAGACTTGACTAAGAAGATAATGCATATAGTGAATTCACATTTCCCCAATTGAAATTCCTCCTATCATTGGATTGTCCAAAGACACACACGTGTGTGTATCGCATTTTCCTATTCAACAAAATATACAGAGAGCAAAAGCTCCATAAGACTTAGTCTAAGAAGATAATACACACAGTGAATTCACATTTCCTCTACCATTGGATCGTCCAAAGATATTGTTGCCTTTCTTACCGTGAAATACTCTAAACAAGAAGAGCATAGCTCTTACCTTAATTCCTTAAATTCAAATAAATGCCATCCTAAAGATAAATACAGACCCATCAGCCCCTTCAGTGTTAGTAACTAAATGCTATCGTCAGCAATACATTGGGTAGACTTAAAGCGCAGCAAACTTTTAGAATTACTTAGACGGCGCAATCCCAGAATTTGAGAGAAAAAAAGGCCCCCAACTAAAGGCTACAGATTTACAAATTCAAGCAACAAATAATGCATTTGCCTTCCTTCGAAAATCTAACTCATAGAATTTAAGCCATAAACCCGTTTCTAAGGCTTTAAAAGGACATCAATCTACCTTGATGGCTAATTCTCCAATTGCCCAACATGCATTGTTGGCTACTGACACATTTTCCTTCAGATTAGGGGTGCTCTGCATATCAAAACTTGCAAGTGAGAAGAGATTGAAATAATCGAAAATGATGACAAGGATAGGCAGATGATTACCCACTTACCAGTTGCTTAGCTGCAATATCAAGATATTCGGACAGCCGGGAATGCAAATGAATAGGACAAACCTAGTAGAAATGACATAAATGTATCAGACTGTATATGAACTCAGGAACTAAAAGTAAGTTTGATCATAATAGGTTTAAGCTACAAAGTCATAATTCTCAACCCACCCGTGCTAGATCACCAAGCAATGCAAAAGCACTCTGTCGAACATCAGCAGCATCATCCATGCAGCATTGCAGAAGTAAGTCCCTCAAATTACTTTGTGAGACCTACAAGTAAAAGTTCCAATGCAGGGTACAAACTGAGAAATTATACAACATTTTGTCCCGAGATTTCCCTTATCATGCTAAACAGTGGATTGGCAAAGAATTTTATCATTAAATGCATGTAGAAAAGAGACACACACAAACAGCCTGGCGGCTGGAAGGGAAACGCTAGACCAATATATTTATGTGTGTATAAAACCAATTATCAGTGAGGACAACAAAATGCTGGGAGGTTTAGTCCAATGTACCATAGAAGTTAGCAACTTGAAATGCTTCCTTAGCCCATAAAAATGCAAAATAGTCTATTGAAACCATACATCAACTCACACCTTATTAAATAATTGAGCTTCGATAGAATCCATAAATATCTATAACCAAGAGAAAAACCTGGACTACAAAAGTCAATGTTCCTGAAGATGAGTGTAGTAATTTTGATGATTGGTGAGTATCCCATGCACAAATTCAACATTCTAAAAGCTGCCATCATATCTGAGGCCTCTCTATTTCATTGATCTTTCTTTTTCCCAACAAACAAGATCCATATCAAGAAGAAGAAGATTAAAAAATTTTTTGGACAATTTCAGATTTAAACATAAAAAATGGCTTTGTATTATACAAATATTTTCATTCATTGACCCAACACCACAGGAGGTCAGCAAAAATTTCAGAAAAGTACAAACATAATATTTTGTCAACCAGGATAACATCCTAACAGAATGCATTTGAAGTAGGTGAATTAACAGACGCATATAATGCCTGGAGAATTGACGCACCAAACTTTCTATTCCACTGCCAAGACCTTCTGCAAGTCCAGAGAGAAGATCCAAAGAACAGACGATAAACTCTTTATCATACTGGACCCCAGCTGAAACAGGATCAACCTGCAATTCAATGTCTCAGATATAAGTGTGCCAAAGAAGTGTGGCTGGATAATTAAGAATTCAACTTTCAATGGTACAAATTGCTCTATATGCAACAAGCTAATGCAACATAAAA